TCAGTGTGAATGTCCCCCCTTTAAGTGCTGTAACCTCTAGCAACCAATCAGTGAGCTGTAATGATATCCTGTAACCTCTAACAATCAATAAGTAAGTGGTAATGATGCACAGTAACCAATAGAAACCAATTAGTGAGCAGTAAAAATGTGCAGTATCTTCTAGCAACCAATCTGTGAGAGGTAATGATGTGCTGTAACCTTTAGCAACCAATCAGTGAACAGTATTGATCTGCTGTAATCCCTAGCTACCAATCAGTGAGCAATAATAATAATAATAATTCATTTTTCAGGATTTATATAGCACCAACAGTTTGCTCAGCGCTTTACAATATAACGGGAAACAATACAGCAACAATACAGTTCAATACAAGAGGGTTAGGAGGGCCCTGCTCCTTAGAGCTTACAATCTAAGAGATGATGTGCAGTAATCTCTAGCAGCCAATCAGTGAGCAGGAATGATGTGCAGTAACCTCTAGAAAGCAATCCATGAGAGGTAAGGTTGTGCAGTAAACTCTAGCAACCAATCAGTGAGTAGTAAGGATGTACAGTAACCTCTAGAAACCAATCAGTGAGTAGTAATAATGTGCAGTAACCTCTAGCAACCAATCAGTGAGCAGTAATGATGTGCAGTAACCTCTAGCAACCAATCAGAAAGCAGAAATCATGTGCTGTAACCTCTAGCAACTAATCAGTGAGCTGTAATGTGTGCTGTAACCTCTAGCAACCAGTCAGTGAGTGGTAATGATATGCTGTAACTGCCTGATCTGCTGTAGTATACTGATTTTGAGTCTAGCTGCTATTTATTGTATGTCTCAGAGCAGGTGGAGAGCAAAATTGCATGGGGAGGGGGGGAGGGAGAAAATGTTTGCCCAGGGTCCAATCAATATTAAAGGCGGTCCTGTGTGCACTGTGTGTATGTGTGAATATGTAGGTTGCACAGTAGCCCTGCTCTTGTCCTGTTTGCTTGGTGTAATTCTCAGTATCTGTTCTTATTCGGTTTGTGTGGATGCTGCACAGTAGCTGCAGCTAGAGGATTGACACAGTGGGGGCGAACACTCCATTTACTTCACTGAACACTGAACAGGCAACAATTGGACCAAATTCAACTTCCTCCAAACCCATCCAAAGCTCATCCCTGCTCACAAAAAAGTGTGTTTCCTTTCAGTACCTAAGAACACTATACTTGTTTACTCATTATCCCCTTTTTACTGTGCATATTATAAATATGCCTTGCCCTTATAATATTTAGCCACTTTTTTTTTTTTTGCAGTACCTGGATTGTGCAGCTTCCTTATCATCCTATCAACTGTTGTCCCAGAAAGTCAACACTGAATTAGTATATAACATAATACACATAAAGAATGTATTGATACAGCTTATAAAATATACACTGATGAAACAAAATTAGGAACACTGTTTAATCAGAGTACAGCATCAAGTCAATTAAACTCCTGGGATATTTATCTGGTCAGTTAAGTAGCAGAGGGGGTTGTTATTCAGTTTCAGCTGCTTTTGTGTTAATAAAGTTAACAGGTGCACTAGCTGGACAACAATGAGACAACCCCCAAAACAGGAATGTTTTTTATAGGTGGAGGTCACTGACATTTTTTCCCCTACTCATCTTTTCTGACTGTTTTTCACTAGTTTTGCATTTGGCTAGGCTGTGTCACTACTGGTAGCATGAGGCAATACCTGAACCCTACAGAGGTTGCACAGGCAGTCCACCTCCTCCAGGATGCCACATCAATATGTGCCATTGCCAGAAGGTTGACTGTGTCTCCCAGCACAGTCTCAAGAGCATGGAGGAGATTTCAGGAGACAGGCAGTTACTCTAGGAGAGCTGGACAGGGCCTTAACCCATTAGCAGGACCGTATCTGCTCCTTTGTGCAAGGAGGAACAGGATGAGCACTGCCAGAGCCCTACAAAATGACCAGGCCACTAGTGTGAATGTCTCTGACCAACCTATCAGAAACAGACTTCATGAGGGTGGCCTGAGGGCCCAACCTCTTCTAGTGGACCCTGTGCTCACTGCCTGGCACCATAGAGCGCGATTGGCAGTTGCCATTGAACACCAGAATTGGCAGGTCCTCCACTGGCACCCTGTGCTTTTCACAGATGAGAGCAGGTTCACCCTGAGCACATGTGACAGACGTGAAAGGGTCTGGAGAAGCCGTGGAGAACGTTATGCTGCCTGTAACATCATTCAGCATGACCGTTTTGGTGGTAGGTCAGTGATGGTCTTGGGAGGCATATCCATGGAGGGACGCACAGACCTCTACAGGCTGGAATGGAACCCTGACTGCCATTAGGTATCGGTATGAAATCCTTGCACTTGTTGTCAGACCCTACGCTGGTGCAGTGGGTCCTGGGTTCCTCCTGGTGCACAACAATGCCCGGCCTCATGTGGCGAAAGTAGTCAGGCAGTTCCTGGAGGATGAAGGAATTGATACCGTTGAATGACCCTTACACGCGCCTGACCTAAATCCAATAGAACACCTCTGGGATACCATGTTTCTGCCGATCCACCGCCTTCAGGTTGCACCTCAGACTGTCCAGGAGCTCAGAGCTCCGTATTGTCTACCTGACCTTCTTTCCATCCTGAAGCGATCCCTTGTACCTTGCAGCAGTCGGCAGGAGGGAGAGGAGAAGACGCCATTGGCAGCAGGGGGAAGGAGGTTACTTACAGGAAATATTATTGGTGTTTTCACGTGGTGGGGGGGCATTTATTTAAACAGATCCCCTGTAGTTTCCCCAGGGCTGTAGATATTTTTTTGTTCTGGGGGGGGGGGGTTCAGCAGCTGACTGGTTGCCATGCACAACTGCTCCAGATTCTGTCTGTTTAGTTCTGAAAAAACTCCCCCCAATGTCCCCAAATGAAAGGTAATATTAGCTGGATGGATACTGAATGTGTGTGTCATAATTTTATTAAATGTTTTTAAGAGGAAAAAGAAAACTGTGAGCCCATTGCCAGCCATATATAACATTTTATTAACTTTCTTAGGACACAGTTTACAGGTTTAAAAAAGTGCACTGCGTGCCATAAGATGCTGCACCTGCTCAGTTATAGTGTGCAAACTGAACAGATACAAAGTGAGTGTGCTGCCTACCTACCACCTTACCTGATCAGTAAGATTGGCTATTATAGCGCAAAGGGCACCATTTTGCGTCAGGCAACGTACTCGCTGACTTTTTTTTAAACTCTACAGATTAAAAAAAGGCACTGCCTACCACAGGATGGTGCACTGTACTAGCCAACCTTAATAGGCAAAGGGCGCCATCTTGTTGAAGGCAGAGCACTCACTGATTGTTTGTTAACCCGGCGTACAGAACAGAAGTGGGACTGTGCACAGTCCATACATACAGAATAAGGAGATACTGAGAATTACACCCAGGACAGGAGAAGTGGGACTGTGCAAAGTCCATACATACAGAATAAGGAGATACTGAGAATTACACCCAGCATACAGGACAGGAGAAGTGGGACTGTGCACAGTCCATACATACAGAATAAGGAGATACTGAGAATTACACCCAGCATACAGGACAGAAGTGGGACTGTGCAGATTCCATACATACAGAATAAGAGCAGTTACTGATAATTACACCCAAAAAAACAGGACATAGAAGTGGGACTGTGCAGAGTCCATACATACAGAATAAGAGCAGTTACTGATAATTACACCCAAAAAAACAGGACAGGAGAAGTGGGACTGTGCGGAGTCCATACATACAGAATAAGGAGATACTGAGAATTACACCCAACATACAGGACAGGAGAAGTGGGACTGTGCAGATTCCATACATACACAATAAGAGGAGATACCGAGAATTGCACCCAGCATACAGGACAGGAGATGTGGGACTGTGCAGAGTCCATACATAAGAATAAGGACAGATACCGAGAACAACACCCAGCATAAAAAGGAGATTATTGTGGATATCAGATGAGCTGGTAATCACACCCACGCTCCCATTAACATCAATGGAGCTGTTGTTGAGCGTATTAACAGCTGTAAATTTCTTGGAATCCACATTTCTGAGGATCTCACCTGGTCTCTGAATTCTTCCTTCCTGATCAGACAGGCACAACAGCGCCTATATTTTCTGAAGATACTTAAAAAATCCCGTCTGTGCTACAGGATATTGGAGAATTTTTATCGTTGTACTGATGAGAGCATCCTCACAAGTTGTATCTTAGTGTTGAACAGCAGCTACACTGCTTCAGACCACAAAACCCTTCAGAGGGTGGTGAAAACCGCCCAACGAATTATTGGTGTTCAGCTTTCCACCTTGTTGGACATTTACAAAAAACACTGTGTACAAAGGGCGGGGGCATCATTTATGATACCTCTCACCCTAACCATGGACTGTTCATACTCCTTCCATCGGGCAAATGATACAGGTGTCTCAGAGCCCGTGTACAAATAGACTGAAAAATTGTTTTTTTCCCTGTGGCTGGTAAAGCATTGAACAGCTAATCATTAGACAATATTGCATTACTGTATATTTTATTCACCATTGCATTACTGAATATTTCATCCATTAATGCACTACTCATTGCACCAATTATGGTATTACTGTATATTCCATACCCCGATTCTTGTTATATTGTTATTTATTGTAAATGGGCCATTTGTGCACTTCTGGCTGGATGCTAACTGCATTTCATTGGCTCATTACATGTACTTTGCACAATGACAATAAAGTTGAATCTAATCTAATGCAGGACAGGAGGAGTGGGACTATGCAGAGTCCATACATACAGAATAAGAACAGGTACTGAGAATGGCACCCGGCATCCAGGCCAGGAGAAGTTGTACTGTGCAGAGTCCATGCATACAGAATCAGAACAGATACTGAGAATGGCACCCGGCATCCAGGACAGAAGAAGTTGTACTGTGCAGTCCATGCATACAGAATAAGAGGCGATACCAAGAATTACACCCAGCATACAGGACAGGAGAAGTGGGACTGTGCAGAGTCCATACATACAGAATAAGGACAGATACCGAGAACTACACCCAGCATACAGGACAGGAGGAGTGGGACTGTGCAGAGTCCATACATACAGAATAAGAGGCGATACCAAGAATTACACCCAGCATACAGGACAGGAGAAGATGTACTGTGCAGAGTCCATACATACAGAATAAGGACAGATACCGAGAACTACACCCAGCATACAGGACAGGAGGAGTGGGACTGTGCAGACTCCATGCAAACAGAATAAGAGGCAATACCAAGAATTACACCCAGCATACAGGACAGGAGAAGTTGTACTGTGCAGAGTCCATGCATACAGAATAAGAGGTGATACCAAGAATTACACCCAGCATATAGGACAGGAGTTGTACTGTGCAGAGTCCATGCATACAGAATAAGAGGTGATACCAAGAATTACACCCAGCATATAGGACAGGAGAAGTGTGACTGTGCAGAGTTCATGCATACAAAAAATAAGAGGCGATACCAAGAATTACACCCAGCATATAGGACAGGAGAAGTGTGACTGTGCAGAGTCCATACATACAGAATAAGGACAGATACGGAGAACTACACCCAGCATACAGGACAGGAGGAGTGGGACTGTGCAGAGTCCATACATACAGAATAAGGAGATACTGAGAATTACACCCAGCATACAGGACAGGAGAAGCTGTACTGTGCAGAGTCCATGCATACAGAATAAGAGGCGATACCAAGAATTACACCCAGCATATAGGACAGGAGAAGTGTGACTGTGCAGAGTCCATACATACAGAATAAGGACAGATACCGAGAACTACACCCAGCATACAGGACAGGAGGAGTGGGACTGTGCAGAGTCCATACATACAGAATAAGAGGCGATACCGAGAATTACACCCGGCATCCAGGGCTTTACCCAGAACACAAATCACTACTGTGTAGTGTTCACACATTAAAGGAGAAAGTACAGCCAAAGCTCTGTGGGTGACAGGAGTGCAGTTCGTTCTGTATTCCTGTGACCCGTTTTCAGCTGCCAGCACTGTTGACTGACATCACTCAGCTGGTCTGGGGAAAGATCCTGACTTTAAAGTCAGGATCCACCCCAACGGCCCAGCACTCCAGTGAGCCCTGGGGGACCAGAGCAAACAGTGGAGACTGACAGTCCTGCTCTCTGCTCAGAGTACCTTTGAGAACTCAGAGATGGTTTTGCTGTGATTGTTGTGCAGTTTATCGCATGGTAAACAGCATTGTGCAAGGCTTGACGTCCACAAAGCAGCAGGAGCTTCTTTTGGGCGGCAAGCTTTGCATGATGCAGATTACTGTGCGATAAATCGCACAACAGTCATGGCAAAACCACACCATGTTTCGGTGCCATTTAAAATGAATGGCACACAGACATGCGTGCTGCATTTTGACAGTATTGCAGTGTGTTTTAGATTTGGGGGCAGAATCACGGCGATTCCAACCCCAATCCCAAATCGATAGATGTGAATAGGGTCTAACACAACATCAATGGAAGACAGGCCAGTCTCAGTGCTCATTCACTAACATTGCCAGTTGTCACACAGTCTCTCAGACTCTCACTTATAGTTAATACCTGGATGAACAGAAGAATACCATTGCCAGCAGCACCACAGTAGTATTGGGTTAGTTTGAGACTGACTGGTAACATTCAGTGAGACAAAGCCAAACAGAAAAGAGGGACACACCTTAAGAAGAGAGGAAGAGCCACAGCAGCCAGCAGTCATCCATGCAGGGGGCCGCCAGCTACACACCACAGTGTTCGGTACTCCAGGACCCAGGCTAAGCTCCTCCCCCAAGCCCTCAAGGCAGGAAGTGGTACTGTAAGCCAATGGGAAACAAGCGGTGGGTGGGACAGGTGCCAGACTGCGAAATGATTATACCCTCCCTGAAGCTGCTCTGCTTCAAAGAAAACAGAACGATCAGGTTCTGTGCAGTGGCGGGGGCAGTGACAAGGAGCGATCTACTGTATGGCATTCAATGAAGCAGCTGGAAGCCACGTCTCCTCTCCCTCCTGCATCTTCCAGCTGCTTCACTGAAAGCCATACAGGTGATCGCTGCTTGCCACTGCCCCCACCACTGCCCCACCTAGTCCCGGCTCTGCTTGCCCCCACCTTATTTCCACTCACGGACGAGTGGAAATTTCAAGGGCTGCAGGGATTTCCCCTGCACCAATCACCCCCTCCTGTCCATGATGCGATACCTCCTGCTGCCCGGGACCCCTTCCTGCACTGATGGGGCCCGGATCACGTACAGGAGGACCAGTGGTACCTGCTTATTAGCAGCCCTGTGCAATATGACCTCCTGCTTTGTAGCTCCCTTGTCTCCTCCTTCCATGCTCGTCTCCAGGACTTCTCCAGAGCTTCCCCCATCCTCTGGAATTATCTATCCCAATTTATCAGACTATCGCCTACTCTGCTCACTTTTAGCCAATCTCTGAAAAACCTATCTCTTCAGGGAAGCCTATCCTGCCGTCAGCTACAAATGGAATCTTCTACTCTTCCTACCAGTCCATCCCCCATAGTTACTACCTTTTGTACCACTAGCCCCTCCCTCCTAGATTGTAAGCTCCGAGGAGCAGGGCCCTCCTATCCCTCTTGTATTGAACTGTATTGTTGCTGTATTGTCTCCCTTTATATAGTAAAGCGCTGAGCAAAGTGTTGGCGCTATATAAATCCTGAATAATAATAATAATATGAGTCTAACTCTTGCACATTTACGTTAAAAGGCACATGAAATAAAAAATTAAAGAGGTTGTTCATTTTAGAAAAAAAAAAAAATAAATATAAAAAGTCAGCAGCTACAAAGATTGTAGCTTCTGCCTTTTCTAAAAGGAAACTTACCTGTTCAGGGATACATCCTCGTCCTCACCTGGACTAGATCATCACATCTTTAGTGTTGGAAGCCGACTGTGACAGCCGGTTTCCTATGTGCATGTGTGAGAGGCGCTGAGCTTTTTGTATCATCCCGCAGCCTTCTAGGATGTGTCCCATAAAGCTATGGGTAAAGAAGGGAGGGGGGGGCAAACTTCCACTCAGATCGCCTAGACTAGGCTCCAAGCAAAAGTGAGAGTGGGTACCTGTCAAAACTAGGTTCCTGCTCCCACCCACACCCTAAATTAAAATGCCAAATATGGTAGAGCGGGGGAAGAGAGAGAGAGAGACTTAAAGTAGAACTTCCCCTTTTGGGTGAAGTTCCACTTTAAAGTGGTTGTAAACCTCAGACATGAAATATGAACAAAGCATATCCCTTTATTGTTTGTACTTCTCTCAATTAAGAGCACTAAGTGCTATTTCTGTCTGCTGCTTCATTCCTCATTCCTGCTAGCTTCATGAATCAGTTCTGATAAGTTTTCCTTACACCAAGAGTAAAATGATGACAGGCGAGGGACCTCCAGCAGATTGACAGCCTCAGCTCTGTTCCTATGAGCTGTGTGGAGGAGGGTGTGAGTCTTTCTCCTCCAATAAGCTCTCAGAGCTTTCCTCACTGAGTCCTGCAGAGTGTAACTTTAGCTCTCCACCCCCTTTTTTCTGAACACTCAGACAATCTTATAAATTCAGCACTTTGAACAGATGTAGAGAATAGACTTCTGCAGATACACAGGTACAACTTATGTAGGAGGATTTGTTTAATCTCTGTGTATTACCTGAAGATAGTTCCTTCACTGGTTATATGTGAGGGTTTGCTACCACTTTAAGTACCCTTACTTTCTAAATTTAGAAGCTGATTGGTTACTACAAACAGCTACATCAGATTCTGTGTTCTCTAGTTTTATTAAATTCCCCCAAAAGTCTATTTCAGCCCCCATAATACCAGCTCCCATCTTTTACTAGCAGCAATGTGAAACTGAATACAATTGATTATTGTCCTCTATGGGTTTTTCTTGGCAGCTTGGCCTGCTGCTCTTTTCTTTATCAAATGTTAATAAAAGAAAATAAAAACTGACATGGAAGTGCATATTAATAAAATTAAAAGTGTGGCTGTCACAGCAAAGCTCTTGTGGTGCAGTAAATTACTTCATTTCCTTTGATAAATTTTTCATTTCCTAGAGCTTTGCCCCAGATTTACAGCTCATAGAATTAATTATAAAAACATTTTGCTGTGTAGTATAAAAACACTTCTGTGTGTAGTGTGTGTCAATTACCGTATTTTATGCTGCGATCATGCTTTTCATGCCAGAAATTACTGTAAACCTTCCTAGGACTGAAACCTTCCTAGTACAGTATGAAGTGAGGCTTTGATTCGGAAAAAAAAAAATCAATTCCCCACGTGAAATGTAGAGATATGTACTGCAGAGATATGACAACAGGTCCAGCGTTACTGCACTTGTATTACATAAATAATGTTGCATGGATAACTGGCACAAAAGGCATGCCACGCTGTGTCTTAGCCATCTTGAATTGCTTAATGTAGGTAGGGCTTAAATCTATGTGATACAGTTGCAAGAAAAAAGTATGTGAACCCCTTGGGATTACGTGGAGTTTTGCATGAATTGGGCATAAAATGTGCTCTGAGCGTCATCTAAGTCACAACAATAGAAGAACACAGTCTGCTGAACATAATACTACACAAAACATTAGATGTCCCCATGGTTTATTGCACATAACATGTAAACATTCACAGTGCAGGGAGGAAAAAGTATGTGAGGCCCTAGCTTAATGACTTCTCCCAGAGCTAATTGGAGCCAGGAGTGAGCCAACCTTGACTCCAATCAGTGTGATGATATTGGATGTGTTGCTGACAGCTGTCCTGCACTTAAAAAACACACACACTTGTTTTGGGTTTACTGGTTTCAAGAAGCACTGTCTGATGTGAACCATGCCTCGCAGAAAAGAGCTCTCAGAAGACCTACGATCAAGAATTGTTGACTTGCATGAAGCTGGAAAGGGTTACAAAAGTATCTCCAAAAGCCTTGATGTTCATGTGTCCACGGTAAGACAGACTGTCTACAAATGGAGAAAGTTTAGCACTGTTGCTACTCTCCCTAGGCGTGGTCGTCCTGTAAAAATGACTGCAAGAGCACAGCGCAGAATGCTGCATGAGGTAAAGAAGAATCCCAGAGTGTCAGCTAAAGACCTACAGAAATCTCTGGCACATGCTAACATTTTTGTTGACACATCTACAATAAGGAAAACATTAAACAAGAATGGAGTACATGGGAGGACACCACGGAGGAAGCCATTGCTGTCCAAAAAAAATATTGCAGCACATTTGAAGTTTGCAAAAGAGCACCTGGATGTTCCACAGCACTACTGGCAAAATATACTGTGGACAGATGAAACCAAGATTGAGTTGTTTGGGAAGAACACACAACACTATGTGTGGAGAAAAAAAGGCACAGCACACCAACATCAAAACCTCATTCCCACTGTGAAACATGGCGGAGGGAGCATCATGGTTTGGGGCTGCTTTGCTGCCTCAGGGCCTGGACGGATTGTTGTCATTGATGGGAATGAATTCCAGAGTTTATCAAGACATTTTGCAGGAAAACGTACAACCATCTGTCCACCAACTGAAGCTCCGCAGAGGATGGGTGATGCAACAGGACAATGACCCAAAGCATACAAGTAATTCAACAAAACAATGGCTGCAACAGCACAGAATACGCCTTCTGGAGTGGCCCAGTCAGAGTCCTGACCTCAACCCGATTGAAATGCTGTGGCATGACCTTAAGAGAGCGATTCACACCAGACATCCCAAGAATATTGCTACACTGAAACAGTTTTGTGAAGAGGAGTGGTCCAAAATGACTCCAGATCGTTGTGCAGGTCTGATCTGCAACTACAGGAAACGTTTGGTTGAGGTTATTGCTGCCAAAGGAGGGTCAACCAGTTATTAAGTCCAAAGGTTCACATACTTTTTCCTCCCTGCACTGTCAATGTTTACATGTTATGTGCAATTAAACCATGGCAACATCTAATGTTTGTGTAGTATTATGTTCAGCAGACTGTGTGTTCTTCTATTGTTGTGACTTAGATGACGCTCAGAGCACATTTTATGCCCAATTCATGCAAAACT